AAAGCTTTTGTATAGATGGAGAGGAGTTAAAAAGTGAATTTAGCCCTAAATTTTTGTTTACCTTACACTTTGATTATGAAATATTTAAAATTTTGGTTAAGAAAACACGGTACCAAGTATTGTAACTAAAAGACTGCAAATTTGTATGGAAAGAAAAGTTAAAAAAAGGGAAAATGATCATTTTGAATTATATGTATTCTTTAGAAAGCTCAAAAACATCAGGCACCGACCCCAAGTCTCAGAAGTTTGAACTTGGGGATGATTCGATTTTTTCTAATGTGGCTGATCCATCCAAAAACCTCCATGCATGTGCTTCCAAGATTTCCAAACAGATCCTAACAGATATCTGAAGTATTTTGAAACAACAGATCCTGGGGTTAAATAAAATTTTATAAGAAAAAATTTTTAAAACTCTTCACGTAAGATAATAAAAAATATGGACAAAAATAGCCAAAAAACAAATCAAAATGGCTTCTTGGCTAAAGAATTAAGTTTTGATCAAACTAAAAAAAAGCCTTTATGGGCTGACAGGCAAGAACCTGTGCACAATTTAAAAGCACTCTCAAACAAATTTTAACTTCGCCCCTTTTAAAAATAAATTTGGGGGTTTTTAAACTAACTTGGGTTCCCCGACCATGAGTATGAGCTTGTTTTCTATACTTTTTTTTTTTTTTTTTTTTTAAAATTTGTAAAAGTTTTGGGTATTTAAGGTTTAAAAACCCCTGATGTATTTAAAGAAAAATCTAGATATATTTTTAATGTAAATCATTATATATTGCATAAAAAAAATTTCCCTTGGGTACAAAATATTTACCCCAGTTTTCAGGCTTGTTTGTTGTATTTTTATCTGTGTCTCCCGTACCCCTACCAGCAGCGTTAGCCCCAAACGAGTATCAGGTTTCCCTGATATCACTTTCCAGATGGCTATGCTTGGAAAATAATTTACCATGGGTTTTTTTCACAAATGTACATATTTGGGCAAACCAAAATTAGATTTGAATTTGCACCCCAAAAAAGTTGAAAAAATATATGTTTTAAAAGTGGTGAAGCCTTGCTGGCCATGTAATTTAAGTGAGTCTTCCCTTTTCAACTTTGCTGTTTTTTGTTCCCAGGCTTTTATGTAACCCTACAAGCTTAGTGCTTACCTAAAGTAATAATAATAATGAAACTGGTGTATTTGAATCTTTTATGATATGTGAAAACCATTGGGATGTTATATTCAAAAACCCTTCCAATGGGTTTGGTTTAAAAAATTTCCCTTAAAAAAATTTTGTATTGTATAAATGAACTGCTGTAACGTTGGGGAGTGTTTTTTGATTTTTATTTTAAAATTTTTTTTTTTATTTTGGTTTCTTCAAGTAGGTTTCCATATTTTTTGGGCCCTCGGGGGCCCTTTTTACATGCTTTGCTTTATGGGATTTTACTAAATGCAGAGGGGTTTCAGTTCGTGGTACCTCGGTTATTCCTTATCCTTCAGGCTTACTTATACCAAACAAAACAACAAAAACAAATTTCCCCTGAAAATAGAAAAAATGAGTAATTTTTCCACGGGAAAAAAATCATCGTTTTGGCATGTTTACAATGAGGGGGTTTTTAAAAAAAAATTTAAACTTGCTTATACTAAAATTGTAATTTCCTGTTAAATGCAAATACATCAAAAATACAAAAGAATTAGATGAAATAAATCCCAAATTTAACCTCACTTACTTTGCTGAAAAAGAGTAAAGTGCCTACTAGATAGTGTTGAAAAGGGAAAGGGGAAATTTTATTTTTTGGAAAAAAAGTCCCCTTCTCCTTCCCATTTGGACCTATTTGAAACTCACCAGTTTAGCATGAAAGTCGTATTCCAAACAAAGGTCAATACCTAAAAACTCCTCCTCCCCTTTACCCCTTTCTGTCTTATTGGCGATGAAGCCAAGTGTGGGCAAAACTTTCCTTCAATAAATTCCCAGGGTTTTGCAAAATTTTCTCAATCTTCAACTTGTGGTTTTCAAAACCATTCTCAAAAAAAAATTTGATTAAAAACAGGATGCTACCAAAAGGGGGGTCTTTTTAAAAAAGCGACGTATCCAAGGTACCACTGAAACCTTTTCTTCATTTTTCAGATTTCTACAATAAAAATATTCACCCTACTATAAGTTAAGGACAAAAATTTTTTAAGGTAGGTTTTGGGTATGTACTATATGCATTTTTAGGCGGGCTTTATTGCTTACTTAATATATATAGGTAAAAATTTTATCGGGCTTTCAATGCATTTCAAAGGAAATAGGGTTTTTTTTACTTCACGCAGTAGTCCAAAACCCTAACCTCTGTATTTTGGGGCCCCCTCCTTACTGAACGAGTTTCTGTTTTGACTGAAAATTATTATGTAGGATATCAAACGGGTTTCTATGTTGTGGGACATGGTCTTTTATAGCCCCCCAAGAGATTTGGGTTATCCTGGTACAATTTTTATTCCCGGTTTTTGGGAAAAAAGGAGTAAAATTAGAATGTATGACCAGGGTGAATGAAGAATAAAAAGGCACAAACTGTGAGGGGTATGCTTATGTTCAGTAGGGTTTTTTTTGTGAGGAGGTTATGTATTTACATAGTGGAATTTTTTTTTATGACCACTTATTTTTTTTATGAAAATATTTTGTTTTTGTTTATCCTTTACTTTTTTTAAGTATAAATCTCTCAAATTTATTTCTTAATAAAATGATACAGTATTTACAAAAATTCACCTTTTTAAACCCATAAGACATTCTTAAATTTATAGACTTATTAAATTTTATTGCTGGTCGGGCCATGGCGACCCCTGAAGGGCCACTACCCCTCCCCTAAATTTTTATCAAAAAACCAAATATGGGGATTTTTTTTTTTTTTCGAAAAGGGGGGGGGGGGGGAAAAAAAAAAAATGAAAGTTTTTTTTAAAAGTTATTTTTAAAAAAAAGGGGTTATGTTGTAAGTTTTTTTGTTTTTAAAGATGGGAGGGGAAAATTTTGTTATTATGGAGAAAAAAAAAAGAGGAAATAAAAAAAAAAGAAAAAAAAAAAAGGGGAAAATAGAAGAAAAAAAGGGGGTGGATTAATGCTTGACATTATGGTAGCTAAATAAATGTAAGTGAATAGCAAGATGTATGTAATTTGATATTTTGAGACAAAGACCCGAAAATTTTCCCCATGTAAAACAATTACGGCTTTTGTTCCTCACAATTTTGGGGGACGGTAGTACCTCCCCTGGGTGGTTGGTCTACCAACCTATTACCTACAAATAAAGGGATTTTTTATGTAAATAAAAATTAGGTAATGTTCACTTTTTTTTTTAATTCAATGGGCCCAAAACAGTGCCTGTATTTATTAATTGCATCTTTTCCAAGGTATGTTACATCAAGATCAATTACCTCCAAAAGCAACATCCCCACACCACCTATGTGAGGTACTGCCCTTCCAATTCCCAAAATCAATCCCGCTAACCTTTTCCGGGTCCCTTCATAAAAATTGCCTTGTCATATCCCAACAGCATGTCCATTAAAAATCACTTGTCTCCATTCATTCCTATCTAACACACTCACACAAAGCCTGCTGGATACTCAAGCTCCCAAAACTCAAAGCCTTGTGTTATAATAAATTAAAGTTAGCCTACAGTATAATTTAGTGGTACAGGTTCACATCCATTTATCCGAAACCCTTGGGGCCAGTAGTGTTTCGAATTTCAGAATTTTCCGAATTTCAGAATGAAGTTGGGGTTTAGGGCAGCACCCCATAATCAAACATTAACACTGCAGCAAAAAGTATGAATACTCACACTAAGTGGGATAAATAAAGATTACAAATACTACTACGGTTTATTTGTAGAGTAATACATATACTGATAAATGAAATAATGGGATAATTATAGACCAGGAACATGATTCTCAAGATGATTGACTGACGGCATTTTTAAAGACAGTGTCATCTGTCTTATTAACATAGGTTTCTGTCTAAGCAATCTGAGTAAATTGCCATAATCTCTTGCTCACTGATAAATGCACATTGTTCAAGGCCAGCAATTAACTGATCACACATTTTCACCATATTGTCTATGGGGACTTTTTCACCTGTGTTCACTATGTCATCATCATCATCCGCAGTAACTCTCCTTTCTGCGTTATTGATAACGTCAGATACTTCCTTTTCTTTTTCTCACTGTTACCCATAGGGGTATCTGCAGCTCTTTTTGACATTTTCACAGTGAAATTAAACAGTCACAAAATAAAAAGCAAAAACTAAATATGTATCAGAACAGAAGACATGTGTGAACACTACAAGTGCTGAGGCAACTGACGCCTGCCACTCTGGCTGTCAGTGCTGGGTCATGCCGCCACATGGTGGCATTGAAGTTATGTAGAGATGACCAACGCTCCACAATCCACGACAAAACTTTGGTTTTCGGAACTTTTCGAATTTCAGAATTTCGGATAAAGGGATGTGGACCTGTATTTGGCTATTTATGTCCATACATTAGGCTTATTCTCCATGGGGAAGTGGAATAAAATTCTTCCTCCGTAAGCCATGCGTGTTATAAGAGGTGACTAAAATGCCAGAATTAAGAGGCTAGTAACCCCTTCTCCTGTATACATTACTGAAGTTAAAAAGAGAAACTTATGTTTTGCTTTTTGGGCCACCCTGCTTCGGTTGAATATGGCCAGTTTACTGAAAGAAGATTAGGCCTATAGACCTGGGCCCTAAGTTGAAGCTAAATGACTGACAGCTTATCTGAGTGTAGCATCCCTTGCTTTTCCTGATAATTTATTCTGGCTATGGGCCTGCCAGCACTATAATACTGTACGTACTTATATTTACTGTACGTACTTATATTTACTATTAGTGCCATGCTCTTTATCAGTGGCTTTCTGTCTATTACTTAACATTTCACTAATTTTCACTTTCATCTTGCCCTTAGTTCTAACTTTCTATTTATTAATAATACAACAGTGCAGTATATTTTAATAACCCAGAATCCTCCCAAATATCACTTACTGGGTGCATATTCCTTGAGAGAGCAGAAATGTGACGACCCAGAGCGTAGCCAGCATCATAGAGTATGTGAGCACACATGGCATCTCCTTCTTCTGCTCCCTCACTGATCTTGGCAGTCAAGCTTGCAAATTTAGCTTTTTGAAATGTTGTGTAAATATGCTCCAGCATTCCAAACCTGAAATGAATGGATTATTTTTAGGACATCTCCAAAAGATGTTTTACACTGAATTAATTTCTTTATTTACAATAAAATCAGTACATTTGTTTACATTTCTTGTATGAGTAATTAATAATTACTTAAAATAGAATTATGTAAATTAAACTAGAAATTTTGAGAATGAAGTGAATTAACATTAAGCTAGTTCAGTACTGTGTAATGGAACTGTTATCCAAAGTATTCACAAAATTGTGAAATCTCGTTTTGTAAACTAGCATGCTGGGTATATGAGTCACACTTCCTATTTGTCCAGAGTTTGCATTAGGATCTCTGTGATAAATGTTCAAGCAACAGTTGAACTTTTCATATCCAAGTGTGAACATTTGTATGTACAAGATCTTTCAGTGCCCATGGACATGGACAATTACCATGTCATACATTTATACCTCACCATTTCATCTCTTCTATACACACATTTGTACCTCACTATATCATCTCTTCCATACATACTGTGCATACATATATATACACCCATCCACAAGTCATACTGGAGATGTGAAGTACGGTGCCTGTACTCTGAAGCAAGGGGATGGGGATAATATTACAGTTCAGAGGGTCATTTGAATTGTGATATTCATGTACTTTAGGCAAGACATCTATTTTATGAGCAAGAGTTAGTGTTTCCATCCTTGAGTAGGGATCCCATTCATCCAACTGACTGTACTACTACAATTTTCTTTGTATAACTCACCTATCCTTCAGGTCAAAGTGGCTGAAAACAATGTTGCGTAGTTTTTCAGTACAATATGGTGGATCTATCAAATTATCTTCTTCGTCGAACAGAATTTTAACAGCTCGGGCAGCAATCCAGTAAGCTGGCGGTTAATTTTAAACTTAATTTTTGTATTCCATCAAGTTCTTTCTACATTAAATATATATATACAGAAATAATTACTACACATATAAAAACCTCTTGTTTTTGTAGACACAAATAAAGAACAGTGATGTTAAAGTCTGGATTTAATGTAATAGAAAATGCAAAACAATAGTGATTTATTTTTGACACTGTAGTAACTATAATTTCTTACCTCCTCCTTCATCACCAAGCATATGTCCCCAGCCACCACAGCGGAAGGTTTGGCCATCTGGATTAAGCAGCAGAGCATTGCTCCCAGTTCCACTAATCAACACAATTCCACCTTGAAAGGGTAAGTTATTCATGGAAAGCTTCATTACATTTATGTATTAGCAAACAACTAAAAAATAAACTCATATGTACACAACAACACATTTTTAACAAAAAAGGCACAATACCGTGACTGGAACGATACACAAATAACCCGCACATAAAAGAGAGAAGCTTAATGACGACGTTTCGGTCCGACTTGGACCATTGACAAAGTCACACTGACAAAGTGTGACTTTGTCAATGGTCCAAGTCGGACCGAAACGTCGTCATAAGCTTCTCTCTTTTATGTGCGGGTTATTTGTGTAACACATTTTTACTTCAGAGCCACCTTTGATGCAGTCTCACTGATTTTTTAACAAAAACTAACATCCAACTAACAACAACGTCCAGTATTGGGCCCCTACTTAAACAAGATGGGTCCTACACAGATGACAGCAAGGAAATGAGTGAGCTACTGAAGTCCCAACATGACTCAGTTTTTAGCAAGCCACTAACCAGACTGAGAGTCGAAGATCAAAATGAATTTTTTATGAGAGAGCCACAAAATTTGGTTAACACAAGCCTATCCGATGTTATCCTGACACCAAATGACTTCGAACAGGCGATAAATGACATGCCCATGCACTCTGCCCCAGGGCCAGACTCATGGAATTCCGTGTTCATCAAGAACTGCAAGAAGCCCCTATCACGAGCCTTTTCCATCCTATGGAGAGGGAGCATGGACACGGGGGTTGTCCCACAGTTACTAAAAACAACAGACATAGCCCCACTCCACAAAGGGGGCAGTAAAGCAACAACAAAGAACTACAGACCGATAGCACTAACATCCCATATCATAAAAATCTTTGAAAGGGTCCTAAGAAGCAAGATCAACACCCATCTAGAAACCCATCAGTTACACAACCCAGGGCAACATGGGTTTAGAACAGGTCGCTCCTGTCTGTCTCAACTATTGGATCACTACGACAAGGTCCTAAATGCACTAGAAGACAAAAAGAATGCAGATGTAATATATACAGACTTTGCAAAAGCCTTCGACAAATGTGACCATGGCGTAATAGCACACAAAATGCGTGCTAAAAGAATAACGGGAAAAGTCGGTCGATGGATCTATAATTTCCTCACTAACAGAACACAGAGAGTAGTCGTCAACAGAGTAAAGTCCAAGGCAGCTACGGTGAAAAGCTCTGTTCCACAAGGCACAGTACTCGCTCCCATCTTGTTCCTCATCCTCATACCGACATAGACAAGGATGTCAGCCACAGCACCGTGTCTTCCTTTGCAGATGACACCCGAATCTGCATGACAGTGTCTTCCATTGCAGACACTGCAAGGCTCCAGGCAGACATCAACCAAATCTTTCAGTGGGCTGCAGAAAACAATATGAAGTTCAACGATGAGAAATTTCAATTACTCAGATATGGTAAACACGAGGAAATTAAATCTTCATCAGAGTACAAAACAAATTCTGGCCACAAAATAGAGCGAAACACCAACGTCAAAGACCTGGGAGTGACATGTCGGAGGATCTCACCTTCCAAGGACCATAACGTTGTATCAATCGCATCTGCTAGAAAAAATGACAGGATGGATAATGAGAACCTTCAAAACTAGGGAGCCAAGCCCATGATGACACTCTTCGGGTCACTTGTTCTATCTAGGCTGAATATTGCTGCACACTAACAGCACCTTTCAAGCAGGTGAAATTGCTGACCTAGAAAATGTACAGAGAACCTTCACGGCGCGCATAACGGAGATAAAACACCTCAATACTGGGAGCGCTTGAGGTTCCTAAAACTGTATTCCCTGGAATCAGGCGGAGAGATACATGATTATATAAAACCTGGAAAATCCTAGAGGGACTAGTACCGAACTTGCACACGAAAATCACTCACTACGAAAGAAAAAGACTTGGCAGATGATGCAACATCCCCCCAATGAAAAGCAGGGGGGTCACTAGCACGTTAAGAGACCATACAATAAGTGTCAGGGCCCGAACGTTCAACTGCTCCCAGAATACATAAGGGGGATTACCACAGACCCCTGGCAGCCCTTCAAGCTGGCACGGGACAAGCACCTAAAGTGGGTTCCTGACCACCGGGCTGTGGCTCGTACGTTGGTTTGCATGCACCAGCAGCAACAACCTGGTTGATCAGGCTCTGATCCACCGGGAGGCCTGGTCACCGACCGGGCCGCGGGGGTTGACCCCGGAACTCTCTCCAGGTAAACTCCAGGTCTGTCAAATCAAAAACAAAGGGCACCAGAAAAACCAACAAATTTACTGAGGGTTTATTGAGTTGGACCAAATCTGAATGCTCCCATTCCCTTAGCTCTATCACCTCTACAGGTTTAGTGTTCCCCCCTAAATAATATACATAATAATATTCACCCGAATGCATTATTATCAAAGATAACTGCTAAACACCATAGGAGTTATGCAGCACCTAGTACCCTCTATGGTGGTTCCTTAACGAGAGTTCTTGATCCAAGGAATTAAACCTGCCCTTCCTTTCTTGGAATGAACCTGAATGTTTCATTATTCCAGGCTCTATATGACCCTATAAATTTAGCACTCTCCATGAAAGTAATAATAACTATAATACTATAATAATAATGCACAAAAAACCTGAGCAGTGATGGGTAGTCAGATTTGATACAAAGTAGGATGAGAACAGCTCCAATGTCTTCATTTGAGAGAATTTCACCAGTATTGAAGGGATAGATTTTGTAGATGGGAAATTCCAGTATAAAATTTTACGTATATAAAAATAAGATACAGTAGTTGATAGCCTACCCTTATGGCAAGCTGTAGCTAAGATCCCTGTGTGTCTGAGGGCCCCAACAATGTGCTTCGTCAAATTAGGTATTGTTCCAAAAATATCTCTTTCCATTTGTCGGTTGGCATCATCTTCCTCACAGCCACTCAAGCACAGACCCTGTAAACAAAAATGAAAAAAAAAAATAGCAGAATATTGAAGATATAATATGGTGAGGGGGAAGGAGGCAGGCATGTCATGGGTTGGGAGGGAAGGGAAGAATGCTGGGAGGAAAGCATGGCAGTTACAAATAAATAATATGTACATTTAGGTGGAAAGTGCTAAACCCATAGGGGTCTTACAGAACTTGGGAATTGGGAGGCAATCAGGTTTGATCCAAGGAAAGGGGGAGGACAAGTAAAATTTCCCTTTGGGATACAAGGCCCTCACCAGCATCAAGGAACTTTCCTTAAGGTGATGGATTAAAAAGATACAGTAGAAATACACAACAAAATAAATGCCACACAGAATATATTACAAAAATACTATGTACCTTATATTTCAGCAAAGTATACAGTAGGGCCTCGCTTTATAGCGCTTCGCTAATACAGCAGTTTCCAATTACAGTGGAACCCCAGATTTCGTCTTGTGTGGATATCATACAATTTGGATTTCGACCACTTTTTGGGGGCAAAATTTTACCCCGGGTTTCGTACATCCGCTAGGAAAATGTCCATACCAGACACATCCGCTTGCCGCGGGACATGGCTACTCATGGAAATAAGTCACTCTGACTGACTTTTTTGGGTTATTCTAGGTTCTCTACACAAATGCTGTTATGTATGATAATCTATGTAACTTTTTGTGTATACCTGAATAAACTTATTTATACATTTGTGACTCAGTCTGCCTTTGTTACTTGTTCACTAAGAGTGTTCCTCTAGTCTTAATGCTATAGTAATAATACTAATACATACGTAATAATAATCACTCTTGGGCACATTAAATGTCTCATTTTACGTTAATATAGACATTTTCATTAATCCATCCATGCAATTTTCTTCAAAACTATATAAGAAACACGTTACATTGCACATAAACATGCAATGTTTATATACTATGGAGGGGTGGTAGCCGAGCAAAAGGGGAAAAAATTTCATTTTCTCTGTCCTGCCCCGAGAAAAAAATGTTGAACTGCAGTGGCCCCCCTCCCCCCCCCCCCTAATTTTAACGCTTTTGTTTACAATTCTGCATGAGTTATTCTTTTCTTCTCCTTTGTTTTTTTATGGCATCTAAAGGGAGTTGTTAGAAACGATTAACTCAGTGAACATAGTATGTTGATGGTAATAATATGGCTCTGGGCCACATTAAATATTGTGTAGCTATGTAGGTAGGTGTAGGTATGTAGCTCAGGAGGACTACATACCTACATCTACTGACTACCTACACTACCTACTACTCACCTCTTGCCCTATATTAAGACTACAAATACTTTAAGGTAAGTAATGAATGTACTGTGTATGTATTTTACTTTTTAGTGTGTTTTTAATGCCTAGTTCTATTGTGGCTCTGGGGAAGTCCATGGGGTTGGATGTGAGTGGCCAACAAGTCTTTTCAATAAAGGTATGTAATAGTGATTTAAATGTTCATTTATCCATTAAAATTTGTCATATATTTATTTCTTATTGTTTTCTGTATGTAAAACTATAGTTATTCTCTATAAAATGTATTTTTTGTTAATATTTTTTGGGTGTGTGGAACGGATTAATTGGATTTACATTATTTCTTATGGGAAATATTACTTGGGTTTCCGTCCATTTCGGATTTTGACTGGCCTTCTGGAACAGATTAAGGACGAAAAACTGGGGTTCCACTGTATCCCCCATTCTTCATTTATTCAGATTTTTCTAAATACATATTCACCACTCACTAAGTACTAAAAGTACTAAGTACAGTACTAAAACATTTTAAGGTAGGTAATGTGTGTACTGTATATGCATTTTCTAGGCCTAGCTCTACTGCTCACTTAATTTTATGATAGTGTAAACATCTTATAAGGTTTTTATATGTATTTATTAAAGTGAAAAAAAAGGCTACAGTTCACTTTACGGCAGTAGCCTGGAACCTAACCTGCTGTATAAGCGGGGCCCTCCTGTACTTGAATTTTTAAAAGTTTAATGCAAAAACCACCTAACTTGTTTAAATTCATGCATACCTTGCTAATATATAAGATAATATTTTTTGGCTTAATTCATGTGTGCTTAAATAATCATTACAGCTGTAACCAGATATAAACATGTAAATAATTCATTACCACTGTAACTTGTTTAGCAATCAAACTTTGCAGTCCAGTCCTGGACCCATTATGTGCCCCTGTAATCTTTTGACTACCACCCCCATGAAATTAATTACATTCAGCTTCTGCTACATTTCCCCCAAATACAATTTCCCCGGGGAGGGATTGAAGCTTATAAGTTCAAATAACCACCCAAAGACGCTTTAGCCCTAGGACCAGAAGCCAAATAAATTTAATAGTTTTTGAATCTATTGTGGCTGGGGTAGTGTCTAGTGGCAAAAACCCCCTATTTTACTAACCCGGGTTAATCCCCCGGGGAAAATGGAATGGCAATCTGTTTTTAAGATTCTAAGCAGGGTATACACAATGAAGGGAATTTAACAAGGTTTGAAAAAGGCCATTAGCCGGAAAATTCGTCTGTTAAAAACCCCTTGATTTGTTTCAAAAAAGAGGGCTTCAAATTTTCAGGTTAAAAAAATATAATATTGATAATCAAAATTTGGTTAGCTGGGTTAGGGAACGCTCGGGGGGGAGTTTTGAAACCAAAAATTGCCCGGGGAATCCGGCTTTAGGTTTTTGGGGAATCGTGACCAAAATTTACCTTTTCCCTTAAGTTAAGGAATACAAGGTATGTATGAAGCACATACCACTGAGGAAACCCAGATCAGATATAGAGAGCATAGGAGATGGCACAGAAGAAGAAAACGGGGTTACTGAATTGCTTAAAAAACAAATATGCTGTGAAAAAGGAAAGATAGTTTGAGCTGAGAGATCACTGAATTAGAGAAAAAAACTTAGGTGTCATACCTAACAGAAGTAAAAATTTGGAACAAAGAGCCATAAAGGATATTGCAAGAAACCAAAATTTTTCATTCCTAAGCAAAATCCAAGCTAAAAAACTACCTGTAGAATAGGACAAATTATTGAGAGGAGATACGTATACTGACAATGGACGGAAATGAGTGAAACCCTAAAAGAAAAGTATGAGTCGGTGTTCAGAAACCCTACTGACAGCAAGGTAGAAAAGGGAAGAAACATTTTTCACTCCAGCAGCAGGCCGTGCAGCCCAAAACTAACATGACATTAGTACAAATCCCATAGATTTTGAAAAAAAAAAAAAAAATGGATAACATGCCCACTCATCAGCACCTGGACCAGATTCACGGAATGACCTATTATAAAGAAGTGCCAGTACCACTAGCACAGCCCGAGCCCTCGTATTTTTGGAGAAAGAGCTTAAATCTAGATGAAATACCAGAGGCCTTAGAGTGCATAAAGGAGGTAGTGAGAACTAGTAGCCCTAACTTCTCACATCATAAAAACTTCAAGAGTGATGAGGTGGCAGATTACAAATTTCATGGACCAGCATAACTCGAACCAGCATGGTTTTAGAGCAGGACGATCCCTGCCTGTCACAGCTGCTGAACCATTGAAAAGAATTACAGAGGCATTGGAAGACGACCAAAACACAGATGTGATTTACACAGGTTTTGCAAAGGTGTTTAACAAATGTGATCATGGAGTGATAGTGCACAAAATGAGGGCCATGGGCATACAGGGAAGGTAGGCAGATGATTTTCAGGTTCCTAACACAGAGAACACAAAAAATAGTGCAAACAAAGCAAGATCCAGCATCAGAGAGGTAAAAGCTCAGTGCCCTAAGGCTCTGTCCTGGCACCTCTGCTGTTTCTCATCCTCATAGCAGACAGGGTACAAACACCCATCACACTTTTGTATCATCATTTGCAGCTGACACTAAAATAAGCATAAAAGTCACTATGGCTGAGGACACTGGAAAATTACAGGAAGACATAAGCAGGGTTTTCCAGTGGGCAGTGGGAGAAGACAAGACGTTCAATGGTGATAAGTTCCAGCTCGTTAGGTATGGAAAGAATAAAGAACTTAAAGGGACACTATATACAAAAATCAAAAAAGGTCACCAAATAGAACAAAAGGAACACGTAAAAGACTTGGGAATAATTATGTCAGCTGACCTTTCTTTTAAAGACCATAAAAAGACAAAGATTACGACAACCAGGAAAGATAACGGGGTGGATATCGAGAACTTTCAAAACAAGGGGAAATAATGACAATGATGGGAAAATCTTCGAATTGCTAGTGCTCCCTCATTTAGAATACTGCTCCCGTGCTGACGGCCCTGTTCCCAAAACAGGAGAAAAATTAGAGCGGGAACAAATACAGAGATTGTTTACAGCTCACATTGAGCCAGTAAAGCACCTAAGTCTTGAACATGTACTCATTGGAGCAGAGGAGAGAGAGATACGGACATGATAATATATGCCTGGAAAGTGCTCCAGGGCCTGGTCCCAAATCTGCACACTGCCATAATAACATACTGGAGTGAGAGATATGGGAGGAAGTGCAAAATAAACCCAGTGAGGAGCAGGGGTATGGTGGGGACAATAAGGGAACACTGTATCAACACTCGGGGTCCCAGACTATTCAACATCTTCCCAGAAGATATTAGAAACACGGCTGGAACAAGTGTAGAAGCTTTCAAGAGGAAACTGGACAAGTATCTTCACCATGTGCCAGATCAACCAGGCTGTAATGGATATGTGGGGCAGTGGGCCTTCGGCAGCAACAGCTTGGTTGACAGAGCAAGCACCAGACAAGCCTGGCCCATGGCCGGGCTCCGAAAGCAGTGAAACTCTCGAAACTCTTCAAAGTATATCAAAGATATTGGAAAGTAATAAAGAAACTTACCAGGGAGAGAGTGGCATAACACCTGGAGAGAAGTGATTTCACAAACAATAACCTCTCTTGTTGCACACCCAATCCTCTTGTTGCACACCCAATCCTCTTGTTGCACACCCAATCCTCTTGTTGCACACCCAATCCTCTCTTGTTGTGCAACAAGAGAAGGGATTGGGTGGATTAAATTTCCTTAGACTGCAAGGCATTTGATGTTGTACCTCACAAGAGGCTAGGCCAAAAACTTGAGATTTAGAAATAACAGAGAACATACTCCGGTAGATCAAAGAGTATCTTAGGGAAAAGAAGCAAAGAGTGACTGTCGAGAAAAGAGAAGTCAAAATGAAGAGAGTAGGTATTAGGACCATACTGTTGCTAGTTTATTTGAATGGCATTCCAATGCGACTGATTCAGATATCGTGTTTACTGATGATGCAAACCTGATCTACCTGGAGTCCCTTCCACATGTCTGGACAAATTACAAGAATGTAAAGATAAATTGTTACCTGAATTCAACCCCAGTAAATGCAAAGTCATGAAGACTGGGGAAAGAGAAAGAACACCAGAAATGGGATATAGACTAGGGGGACAAACCTCAGGGTGAGCACAGAACCCAGGATATCGCCTGAGATTCACATCAAGGTGAAAAACCCATGCAGTCAATGCTCGTCGGGAAAATCAAAGAGTGCCTCCTGGAATGTCAATCAAGTCATTCTGGACCCTTTATACAACTATGTCAAATATCATCTTGGAGT